TAAATATGTTTAAAATATATATGTAAGGTTATTTTGAATATGACTTATAAATTGATTTTTTTTTTATTATGAAAAGATATAAAAAAAAAATAAAGAGATAATGTGACTCAAATAAATTAACTTTTTTTAATATTATCAAAAATACCTTAAAATGAATGTTGTGATCTCTTGTTTTGTTATTATTGTGTAAATTAATGAATAAGTTGGCATTTGGAAAAAATGATTGGCTTGTACAACAACAAAGCCATGTGGTAGTTCTTTTCTCTGTCACTTCAGAAAATATCTCAATTCCAACAACTTTGTTAGTGTCAAAATTTGACTTGCTATGTGTAGTTTTGAAAGCTCTTCCCTCTCCGACTATTTCCTTTCATGATTTGGGATGTCCTCTTCACCACTAATGTCAATATATATCCACTAGATAATTTTTGCTAGCAAAATTTCTGTTTGATTGTGAATTTTAATGATGAGTAGCTCCACAGCAATCCATTTCTTGCATTTTAAGCTTTCCACTTCAGAAAAATAAAATCCACATCACTCCAATAGGGAAAAGAAACTCAATCCTATCTCAAATAATTAGTCCAATTCTTATATCTGGTGTGAAATTTTAAAAATAAAAAATATGAATGCAATATAATTATAATTTATTTATGTTTTATTTACTGCGATTATGTTTATATTTTGGGAGATTCTATTTATACGCCATTAATCCTCTCAGTTAGGAATGCTCAGCGGATATTCTGATTGGCCTAAACCGACCGAACCGAACCGAACCGAACCGATCTGTCGCATTTTGGGCAAATGCGTGATGATAAGCGGACGATTGCAGATTGATCTTTTCCAATCTACTTAGTTTTAGACGGATGACAGATTTGAGGTTCCTTTGGCCATTACTGAACTATCAAACTGCGATCACCTCTCGTAATTTGTAAGACTTTGCGTTTTCAATTTGTTTAGATATTTTGTTTGTGTTTTACAATTGAAAAAAAGTTTAGATATTCTGTTGTGTTTTCAATTTGAAAATCCTTTTATCAAATGACAAGTGTTGATATTTGATATTTTTGTATAAAAAATACAAGGCTTAATTTTGTTATTTTTAAAAAAAAAAATCAAATTAAATAGTTTTTGAATTTAAAATAATAATAATAATAATGAAATAGTTTTGATAATGCATGATTTTCTTAAATGTATTTGTTATTAGTATTTGAAAATTTACTTGATAATCTTTTAGTTATGTTGAGTTGGATTGTTATTAAAAAAAAAAACGTTGGCAAGTTGTTGTATTATGTTCAAAATTTGTAAAAGTTTAAAAAGTCAAATAGATTCACATCTATCCGCCAATCTGTCAATCCGCATTCGTCAATCCAGTGGACGGATGTAGATTGGAAGTTTCCCGACTGCAACTGAACTGTGAGCATCCCTACTCTCAGTACACACCATTTAATCATTAAATTTATATGAGAATAATACCTTCAAATTAAATGATTATTAAAGACAATATGGATGTATATGTACTCATTCAAGTAATTCACATATGAAAATATAAATATCTCTTTATACACCATCACCTATACGTTATATCTTTTGGAACAAATCTCTCTTCCAACATTTTTCATCTTCACTATTATAATCTAGCACACTACACTCATCATCTTCGCTATTATAATCTTCATTATTATTTTTCAAACTCAAAACATTATTATCTTTAAAGATTTAGGGTTTTAAAAATATTAAAATCAATTAATTTTGCAGATTTGCATACCATGACAATCTGATTATTGATTTAAAATAATACAACAATAAAAAAGTTAGTTTACTTTTTTGTTTATCTCATTCATATAGAAGATAGTTTATTCATTTTTTTTCATATTCGGATAACCAAAGTTTAACATTTATAAAATGTTTAATTATTTATATTTGAACAAAATTATTTTGTTCAAATTATTAACATTGATCAAATATTAAATGTTTATACATAAAAAATTAAATATTTTGGTTGTGGTGTGCACCAATTTATTAGCCCAGGTTGAAAAAAAAGAGTTATAGTGTAAACTGAGATATTTTTATAATCAAAAAATTATTATTATTATATATACTAAATAATAGTGTGTATTAAAAATAATGTTATATTTTAATAAGAATGAAGGCGAAATTCTGTTGATTACAGAAATGTACACCCACTGATTGGCCAAATACGCAACCCCCCCCCCCAAATCCATATTCTTCTGTTATTTGAAAAATAATAATAAAAAATATATAAAATATAAAATAAAATTTATTGTAAAAGATTAAAAAAGTTAGAGTTTATAAATAATAAAAAAATCCAGATAACTTCATAAAACTTTCAAAAATAATCTAATATGTTAGGTAACAAAATGAGAAAAGAGGCTTGTCTTAATGTATGTTTTTTGAAATCTTAATCTACAAATAGTATAAATTTTGTTTTTATCTTATAGTACTTTATGAATGATATTGTATAACATATAATAAAACATTACAAACTAATTCAATAATAAAATCTTCATGACTATCTTCCTGAAAATTTTTCTTGAAAGGTAACATTACTCTTTGCTCAATAATCCGGGGCTTTTCCCAAACTAAGCCTCTTTTGCATCTTATTTCCTAAACTAGGCCTAGTTTGGACGGATTTCTCAAACTAGGCTAAAGCGCTATTACAAATCGCGCTTTCACTGTTTGAAGCCTAAAATTTGATGAATAGTGAAAGCGCTATTGCAAAATGCGCTTTTAATTAAAAAATCGCTGTTTCAAATCGCGCTTTTAACATAAAAAAAAATTTATGAAAAAAACACTATTTTAAATCGCGTTTTTACTGTGCATATAATTTATTTTTTTTTTTTAGAAAACGTTATTTCAAATAACGTTTCTACTGTTGAAAACCAAAACCAACCCACCCTCTGACATACGCACACACCCACACACACCCAACCCACACTTTGAACCATTAAAATAATATAATTTTTATATATAATAATAATTTATAATAATAAATTATATAATTTTTATAATTTTCATAAATATAAATCATTTTTAGGTTATGAATGGTTTGATTTATAATACGTATGTATGTAAGGATAAAAATTTTTATAATCAAAAATAATTTTTATAATTTTTATAATCAAAAACAATTTATAATACGTATGTATTATAAAAAATTTTATAATAATTTATAATCAAAAATGCTTTAGAGCTCTAATAAAAGAGCTCTAATAGCTCTAATGGGAAGGTGGGGCCCACCCTGATGTGATGTTTGTGTCTTGTTTTATTTTGTTTTTTTTTTTTTTTTCAAAAACACTTGGGCTCAATTAAAAATTGTAAAAATTGTAAAAATTATAAAAATTTTAAAAATTATAAAAATTATATAATTGATTATTATAAATTATTATTATATATAAAAAAATTTATAATCAATTTTTGCAATTTTTATAATCGATTTTTACATACGTATGGCAATAATTTTTATAAATTATTTAAACCATACGTATGTAAGGGTAAAAAAATTTAGGTTATGGATGGTTTGATTTATCATTTAAGTCATTTATCAAAAAATTTACCCTTAAACCATACATATGTAAATGTGAAGATGGGTTTACTGTAAATGTAAATGTGAAGATACGTATTAAATTATTTACATACGTATTAATTATAAATTTTTATAAATTATTTTTGAATAATACATACGTATTATAAAATGTGAAGATCGGTTTACTGTAAAAAATTTTAAATAAAAAATGTAAAGATTTAAATAATACATACGTATTATAAATTATTTTTGATAATTTATAAATTATTTTTGATTATAAAAATTTTTACCCTTACATACGTATTATAAATCAAACCATCTATAACCTAAAAATGATTTATATTTACGAAAATTATAAAAATTATATAATTGATTATTATAAATTATTATTATATATATAAATTATATTATTTCAATGCTTCACGGGTGTGTGTGGGTGTCTCTGTATGTCAGAGTGTGGGTTGGTCTTGGTTCAACAGTAGAAACGTCATTTGAAATAACGTTTTCTATAAAAAAAAATAAAAAAAAAATTATATGCACAGTAAAAACGCGATTTAAAATAGCGTTTTTTTCAGAAAAAATTTTTCATGTTAAAAGCGCGATGATTTGAAACAGCGATTTCTTAATTAAAAGCGCGTTTTGCAATAGCGCTTTCACTATTAATCAAATTTTGGGCTCCAAATAGTGAAAGTGCGATTTGTAATAACGCTTTAGCCTAGTTATCCGTCCAAACTAGGCCTAGTTTGGAAAATAAGATGCAAAAGAGGCTTAGTTTGAAAAAAGCCCCCAATAATCCTCGTAAGATGACTCGTACACATTCCGAGTTGGACTCATTGAGCGAGAGAATTCACATTTCCTTTTTAAATAAGGTATAACCAAAGAATTTTTAAATCATAATCAAAATAATGTTATAAGTAGCATCACAATGAATCATAACTAATATCACAATATATATAACTATTTTATAACCAAATCATAACTAACACTTAATAAATCATAACCAAAGATCTTAAAAATGTAACTAGGGCATAAAATTTCCCTTTTAACAAATATGGAACATTAATTTTCTTTGCACTTTTAAACCAGCCCCACATCATCAACCAAAAATGGAGCCATATCATCCAAAGGAAAAATCAGCCAATAACTCTCTATAAGATTTTTTTTTCTCTTTTTGCTTTCCAATTTTTTCTTGTGTTTTTGTTGGTTGAAGAGCAAGGGATAAGGCTTGAAAAAAAGCTATGGAACCAAAAACATAATAAAAAAATTATCTAAAAAATAAAGCATGTAAAAAAATTTAATATAATGTGAACCACATCCCAAATAAATATAACCGAGCACACTGCATTTTCTTCCAATTTCTTCAAGCACGGTCGGTACTCCTGTAAGGTTCTTCTCTTTTTTAATAGCAGGTCCACATGAGATACCCTCGGCCCAAATCCAGGGCAACACCAGCCCAAAAAAATAAATAAATAACAAACCAACTTTGATTAGATCATATTTCATTCATTTTAGTACACACTTTGCCACTGAGCATACTACATGATCTCTGAACTTGGGTGCAAGCAGCAAATAAATAAATTTAAAAAAAAAACTGTCAAAACTGAAAAAAATGACGATGTTGCTCAGATTCAAAATTTTAACAGTGACTACAAACAATCAAATGAATAATATATTGATGCAGGAAGAGAAGATGCCCAATGTATAGCGGCCGTGTGTCCAGAAAAGGGATAATAAAAATCTGCTGTGATATAGCAAGCAGCCCTGATTGACTAAAATCCGGTGTCCAAACTGAATCTGATTGCACTTGTTTGCTGAATGCTAGCAGTAAAGCCAAGGCAATTGAAGATTACTTCACTAACAAAAGTCAACTGAGGACGACACTCAAAAGTTGACGGGAGAATAGGAGCTTCGGTAACCTTCAGAAGGTCCTTTAAATTTCCGCACCAACAACATAAACATACTCTGCAAACAGCAGGAGAGACATAAATTTTAATGTTAATTTGTAATTTAATAGGTTTTATTGGTTTATTAGTCTTTAACTCTGGTAGTTTTCTTTTTGGAAACTTTTAAGTAAGGTTTTCTTGGATGGAATGGTTTTATAATATTGAGTTCAGAGAATTAGGGTTTCTTCTATTTTCTTGTGTGGCATTTCTTTTTGTCAGCATCACATAGTTTTGAACTTCCCAAGAATTCCTGTTTCCTTTTTTGATTTTTTTCTAGCCAAACAAGATCCTATTTCTTATACTAAAAAATGAAGCTAAAGAATTACTAAAACTGAAACAATTTACCCCCCAAAAAAAACATCTGGCAGTATATTTCGAGCCATAATACATTAGGAGAAATATGGGCAGCAAAGATTTAAACATTGAAGGAATACCTGAGCTCTATGGGGTAAACTGGCCCAAAATTCCAAATTAGGAATAACCTGAAAAAAAGAAAACATATGTTACACACAAGTTAAACAGTAAGAAAACACAGATAAAAGCTAGCTTGATTGAACATGGTATATGTTATTTTCGCATAGTTTTACACATTGTTGTCAAATTGCGAATCAAATCGTGATTCATTTTGCTAAAATAGTTAATTATGAATTGTAAGATTCACTTTGTAAAGCATTATCTATAACTGTATATATATATAAATACACACTGTGTTTAAAACAAAATAAATAGTAATCGCATATATGTATATATATATATATATAAAACTATGTCTACCAATATAATTAATTGATCTCTTTTTCAAAAACAACGCCCCATTAGTACACATTAATGTGTATTTAGGAGAAGAAAGATTAGGTGCACACCTAACTTTTGGCCTAGTACACAAAGATGTTGCCCCGAAACTTGAATACATAACCTCAAGGTTATTAGGTCAAGGTTTGTTAAGGTTTTACCATTAATTGATCTCTTTTTTATTTTGCAAAAATGATGCCATTTCATGCATTATGTAAACAAAATAGAACACAGTAAATCATAACAAATCGTAGTAAATCACAATGAATTGTAGTCAATCTCAATTGAATCATAAGATTCACTTAATTTAACATTCAACAATGCAAATCAAATAGTTTTGGCTAAAACTCGTTTTGCATTGTATAAATCAAATCGTGAATTGTAAGATTCTAACCACCATGTTTTCAAATAACATGTCATGAATAGTTAATTAATTTCTAACTGATTAAAATAGATTTTCATAAATCTAACAATGTATATAAAGCATCAAGTCTAAATCAAGCTCCAATGATGAAATCTATTATCAAGTTTGAACGTACAAATAATTGAATTGACAATGCCCTACAAGAACAAGCAATATATTCTAAACCCACGCTAAAAGCCTTAGGGTAATTTTATTTTAGAAAAAATTATCAGAAAGTTCCATATGGGAATCAGTTACTCCAATCAGTTGGATTTTCTAATACACTGATTGGTCCTATTTGTTTTGACAATCTTACCGTGAGATCCTATTTTAAATTTTGGCATGATTTGGTCGATGTTTCTACCCTTCCTTATTGGAGGACGCCATCTTAAGGAAGTTGGATCCAATTTTTGGATCACGTTTCCATCACTCCAACGCAACACTCAAATATAGGACTTCAACACTCAAAAAAAATTCTTTAGTGTACTTTTCCCAAACGTAACACTCCAACACTAAAAAACCACTTAACGTACTTTTCCCAAATATAACATTCCAACACTAAAAAACTCCTTAGTGTACTTCCATAACGTAACACTTTAATGAAACACTCCAAGGTAACACTCCAAGGTAACACACTAAAAAACTTCTTAGTTTATTTTTCCCAAATATAACACTCCAATACTAAAAAACTCTTTAGTGTTCTTTTCCATGACATAACACTCCAACGTAATACTCCAAGATAACACTCCAACGTAAAAACACTAAAAAAACTTTTAGTATACTTTTTCCAGACATAATACTCCAACACCAAAATACTCCTTAATGTACTTTTCTCAAATGTAACACCCTAATAACGTAACACTCCAAAAACATAACACACTAAAATATACCTTAGTGTGCTTTTCTCAAATGTAACACTCCAGCGTAACTCTCCAAATCTAACACTCCAATATGGTGGCAAATAAGTTATTACACATCCAAAATGACTAAATGGATTACAAGAAAAAAAATATGAGACTATATAGGTCACAAGTTCAAAATATGAGACTTTATTGGTCAATCTCTCTTTAATTTATAATACCCACTAATGGCCAAAACGATGCCCCCTTGTTTGTGCGGAGTCCACAATGTAAAACAATACAATAAAAAATATATATAATAAAGCAGAACATTTTAATCCCCAAAATCATGGGTAGACAACACTCTATATGGGAACACATAAACATGAAAATTAAAGTTGAGAGAGAAAACATACATCTATGCCACGAATGCCAAGGTAGAAAAAACGATAAACAATACCGGCCAGCAGATACCCTCCAAAGAGGCATAAGATTCTGAAAAATCAAAGCAATTAGTGAATATCGAGTCCTTGGAAAATCAGAGATTAAGGCAATTAAATCTTATACATATTACATATCAGTTTAGTTTCGTTTTCAGAATCTATTATTTGAAAAATGCTAAAAACTAATTTGGTGAACAAATAATGAAAAATTCAAAAATACTCTCATTTTCTTCTCTTTTTTTCTTTCTTTTCTTTTTTGGGTGCAAAAATAATTTTTGAAATATTTAACCAAATTAGTTTTTAGCATTTTTCAGAAAAATAAATTCTGAAAATGGAACCAAACTGGGTGCAAGGCTAAAATTGAAAATTCCTTACATGGTTATGAAGGTGCCAAACCAGCCCAGTCCTTTCCCATGGACAGATACTATCTCGGCACAACCAGAAGGGTGCCTTAGTAGTGTAGCCTGATAGTGGAAATGAAACAAGAACTTGAATCAACTGTGAATCGTGCATGAGAACACTACTATTGAACTTATCAAATGCCAACGGAAGTTGAATAGACAAAAGAGAAACAATGCATGTAATTCACAGTCTTGGTCAAATTAAGATCTTTGAGATCAAGCAAGCATATATTAAATCAGTAGTATAAAAGAAGTGAGGTACAGAGCCAAAAAGTAACGCACCACCAGTCATAAATAACATAGTTGTTTCTCTAATTTCACAACCAAAATTTATTCATGCAAAAACCAAACACCCATCAGATGATCTTTCCATTCTCCACTTCCAAGTTTGCATTACACGTCAACAGGATGTGTTTAGTTGAAAAGATTGAATAATGTTAGAAAAACTAATTAGTTTACTAACAAACATACTAACTAGTTGAAAAGATTTGGTGTTATAAGGCATCTCAGCTTAAGGCACCATGTAAACAGGTATGATATACTAGTACAAAAAGAAGAATGCCCAAAAGAGATTTTAATTAGCTCAATGAATGGAATTGGGAAATAACCTCTCAAGCTATTGGCTTCTTCTTATGATAATGAACCAGTGAATAGGCAGAGATGAATAGTAACACTCAGAAAACCTAGTAAGACTTTAATTCCAACAACTCAAAAAGTCAAAATTTCAGAATTATTCTTACTATATACACCCAATCTTTTCTTCTGATAAATATATATATATATGTATATATATCCTTCTACAAAGAACAGCAAAAAGGTGGGAAAAAGAATATGAGGAAAAGGGTATGTCACCTGTCTCTATAAGGAAAGGAACTCCATTAGCTAACGTAATCAAAGTGTCAAAGAGTGTGCATGAGCAGAATGCCCATAAGCCCATAAAACAAGAACATGGCCTTGTACTCTAATGTATAAAGAACACCTATTTACACAAACAGCCTCCGAGATCAATAATTGGCTCTTACACGTCATGTAATTCAACACCTACCCGAGTTTAGTGTCTTTAGACACTTCCACCATCAGTTTGCTATATCATCAGAAAGTATAACACTCAAAACAGTAGAAAATGTATAGGTATTCTACTTTACAAATGCATTGCTAGTGCACCAACAAACCACATAATCACAATGAAAAACACTAACTTTACTAGACCACCAAGCACTGAAGGATTGAATGAAAATTCGATAAACTCGAAGCGCTTACGTAATCGCAAGTCCCAACTTTCTCCAGTGCCTGAGGTCCCTGAAAAATGGGAATATAAATATTCAAAGGCCATAAAACCAATATTAATCTAATTTTGAGGAAAAGCTAAGGTAAAAAAAATGAAAAGGAATGCAAGAAACAAGCTCTCACTTGAACTCCACTTGAATCACAGATCACAGACACAGCAAGTGAACAGTTGAGTTCCGAGAAGTTATTTGACATCGTAACAACAACACCCATGTGGGGACTCTTTTCATCTGTCATATTAAAACAAAAAACAGTAATGTTTGACAACCTACATCCCACAACATCACAAGGGAAAAACAATACACGTTATGGAAAACTCCAACTCCATAAAGCACAGGACCAAGCTATTTCAAGGACATACCATCACATATGCCAAAAGGCAGAAAAAGGGAACCATAACAAGCAGAACTAGTATTCCTCTTCCTTCATCTAACAAAATTAGGGGAGGAACTTACCAATGAGATCAATTATCATGCTTGACGTACGCCCAACAGTAGTACATACCGGATAACCTGCAGATACCACATAAATCCAATCAGCAGAACATCTAATGCACTCAATGTTAAGGAAGAAGATGGAGAAGAACAACTCTCTCTCTCTCTCTCTCTGCACTCAATGTTAAGAGGACAGAGAAGTGTTGTTGGGCTATAGTGTTTAAATTGAATGAAGAGTGGTAAACAAGAAACACTCATCATAAATATGTAACTCATTGGTTTCAGGACCATTCTATAACATGCTAGCAGTTCTCAATACTTCATCAGCAATATATTCATGAATTTGCTCTATTTGTTTAGGTCAAAACTCAAAAAGGCATAGCAACTAGTGCAAAGAAAATTGGTAAATCACAGCAATATTGCAGGCTGCTTAACATGAATAGGTCAAGTCCTCGCACTTCTTTGAGAACACACCAGTGCAGCAATATTACACTATTGTCCAATCACTAGACTAAGCCTCACACAATTGGCCAACTCTAGATCTCCAAAAACATGTAAAAGTTGTGTCTTCATACCCATGGGAATATGCAGATGCAGTGATATTTCCCAATAACTGATGATTAGAATGAGTCTTCCTCGCCATCATCAGCCAAATCTACCAAAAAAGGTGAACAAAAAGGTCCAATACAAACAATTGGACTTGCATAAATGTGAGAAAACTTTAGATGAGGGTTGTTAAGATCTTTGTGATGGCATTCCACACAATTTGTTTACAGGGTAACATGAAATGCGATCCTAAATATAAAATTAAAATTGTTATAAAAACCTTTTTCTACATTTAAACAATTTTCTATTTGTATTTTGTAATGATTAACAACATGTAGTACCATAAAAACTTTCAAGAATGTTTACCTCCTATCTTGTGAGCCACAAGCGCACTACAGCCTATGCCACAATGTGATGGACCCCCACAGTCCTATAATATCAAAAAGACATTCAAGTAAGTTGGAAATCGAATAAAATCTGCAGTGGAGAAAGAACACTCAGTTTTTCCTTTTATAATATAATCAATCATAATATTAAAAAAGAAAATATGAATAAATATTGGATCATGCATGTAACTTGGATGGTTCACCAAAAAAATCCACGCATGGTCTCAGCAAGGGCTGGGACTGTCAAAAATTAGTTGGCTTCCTAAACATCAATATTTCTACGGTAAATTACACTAACCTCCCCTGAGGTTTAGAGAAAATACAATTAGCCCCACACTTTTGACAAAATTATACCGACCTCCCTTAATGTTTTAATTCACCCATCATTTGGCCCCTTTTTCATCCATAATTCATTAGTTGTATGGATGAAAAAAACAGATGTTATCTCTTTTATTCTAAAATGTATGTTTTACCCTTGTTTATTCATGTGTCTATACACCTTTGCATTAGTTTCTATCACTTTAGTCTTCGTAAAAAGGAAGTTAATGCAATTATGTCAAACTTATGGGGCTTATTATTATTTTTCTACACCTCGAGATTTACCAATATTTTCAAATATAGCCTGATTGAATGACACATAAGCTGCCACTGACCTAGAAGACCTGTTAGGGCGGCAACAAATGAGGCAAACTAGTCCAAGTAAAGCTTACTACACTAAGACAAGTTCCAGCTCATTCCGAGCTCTGACTTGAGTTTACTGCCATCCACGAGCTTTGCTTTATTTATATTTTGCCAAAGACTAGTTCTCTTTGTAAGAATTCTGAATACTAATCTGTATATTCAATTGTGTCTAATACAAAGATTACAACTGATATATATATAACAAACCTAAACCTAATCTGAAATAGGAAATAAGAACCCTATACAATCAATCTAATATTCACACAATCAATCTAAACTATACAATCAAACTAATTGATATATTTTCATAATTAGCATATATTCTCACACCCCCGCTCAAACTCAAGGTGATTTAGTAGAAAACACGGAAAGTTTGCCAAGAAAAAACTAAAAGCGAGTAGTGGTGTGAGTCTTAGTAAAGAAATCAGCAAGTTGCAGTGCCGAAGAGACGAAAGGAAGCGAGATGAAGCCAAACTGCAGATGCTAACGTACAAAATTACAATCAATCTCAATATACTTCGTCCACTCATGAAAGACAGTGTTATGGGCAATCTGAATAGAATTGTGGTTGTCACAATAAAGGGAAGTCGGAGAAAACTGAGGGACGTCCAAATCAGTTAAGAGACAACGAAGCCAAACAATTTCAGCAGTAACATGAGCCATAGCACGGTACTTAGCCTCGGCAGTGGAACGCACAACAATAGTTTGTTTCTTGCTCTTCTAAGAAATCAATGAATTACCAAGAAACATGCAGAAACCAAAAGTGGACTTGCGATCATTGACATCACCAGCCTAATCAAAATCAGCATAAGCCACTAAGTCCAAAGAGGAAGTAGAAGACAACAGTAAACCTTAAAATATAAGCTCTGTTTGGTTTAACTCTCAAAAACACAATTTTTGAAAAAAAATTCCAAAATTTTGTTTTGGCTGGAAATTTTTTGAAATTTTTTTTCAAAATCACTTTTTCTCTTTCCTCTCTCATTCTCAATCACTTTTTCTCTCACACACATCTACTCAATTACAACAAAATATCGAATCATCCCAAACTCTCATACTCCAAAACTATTTTCAAAATATACAACTAAACAAACCAAAAAAAAATTTAAACTCTTTTCCCAAATTTTTTTTGAAAATTTATCTCCCAAAACCAAACCAAACACACTCATAGTACTCCGGAGATAGCGAAGAATCTGAACCAAAACAGCCCAATGTATAAAACGAGGAGCAGAAACGAACTGACTAACCACATGAACAATATAAGTAAGATCAAGGCAAGTAACCGTCATATAGACTAAGCAACCCACAAGCTCTCGATATAAAGTAGGATCATCTAGAAGAACACCATCAGTAGTGGTAAGCTTCACATTAAGCTCAATGGGGATATCTTAGTGTCAGTAGGACCGACACAATGAATAATCTCATTGGCATACTTGGCCTGAGATAGAAAGTAGCCCTTGGGAGAAGAAACTACCTCAATACCAAGAAAATACCGCAAGGGGCCCAGATCCTTCATTTCAAATGTGCGAAAAAGATGTTGCTTGACCTTAAAGATAGTAGAAGAGTCAGAGCCAATGAAAATCATATCATCCAAATACAGTAATAAGGCATCAAATCCAGCAGAGATGTAAAGAAGAAATAAAGCAGAGTCTTGAGCACAAGGATGAAACCCAAGCGCAGTAACAACAGTCTGAAAGCAATCATACCAAGCACAAGAAGACTGTTTCAAACCATACAGAGCACGCCAAAGGCGACAAACATGCCTAGAAGAATGGTGAAGGCCAAGGGAAGGACGCATGTAAACCTCCTCTGTGAGATGGCCATTAAGAAAAACATTCTTAACATCCATTTGATAAAGAGGCCAAGAACGAACAACAGCGACAAAGATCAAAGTACGGACAATAGTTATCTTGGCAACAGGAGCAAAGGTCTCCTCATAATCAATACCATACTCCTCTGTGAGAAACCTTTGGCAACCAGACGAGCTTTGTAGTGCTCAAGAGAACCACCAGAATGAGTCTTGACTTTGTAAACCCATTTACAACCAACCAGATTCTTACTAGCAGGCAAATGAACTAACTCCCAACTACTAGTTTTTTATAAAGTAGACAACTCATCCTCCTTAGCTTGAATCCAATGGGGATCCTGACAGGCCTCCTTGTAAAACTGAGTTTCTGAAAAATAATGAATAGCAGACAAAAAGTATGATAGGAAGCAGAAAAACATGTATTAGACCAACCAACCTGTTTAGAGGATGACCCACTTGAGGAGGATATCGGTATACAGCGGGATCAGAGTCGTCAGAAGTAGGAGGATCAACAATAAAAGTAGAGACAACTGGTGGAGGGAGAGCCTGACGACAAGGATAAACTAACAACAGAAGAGGACGAGGAAAAGGAACAAGCTGGGGAGAAAGAGGAGAAAATGGAAGAAGGTCATGAGGAACAGAAGAGATGTACTCATCAAGAGGGACCTCAGAAAGAAATAGATCAATGTGAACCAAATCCTCTTTGAAAACTGGAGCAGTGATAGGAGGAAGCTGAAAGTAAGGCAGACATCAAGAAAAGAAACATGATGGGAGACGTAAAGATGATGGGAAATAGGGTCGTAACACCGATAGTCTTTCTGAGTAAGACTATCTTTCTGAGTAAGACTATCACCCAAAAAGACACATAGGACAAACCGGGCACTAAGTTTGGTCCGATCTTTACCGGAAGGACAAAACAAGCAGACCCAAACACACGAAGGAGGGAGTAATTGGGAAGTTGAGAGAATAGCAACTCATAAGGAGACCGGCCAGAAAGAAGGGTAGTAGACATGTGGTTAAGAAGAAAAACAGCAGTAAGAACTGCCTCTCCCCAAAACGAAGCTGGAACTGAGGCAGAGAGAATAAGAGACCTACCTGTCTCAAGAAGATGACGATGTTTATGCTCGGCTTGACCATTTTGGGCAGGTGTATCAGTACAAGAAGTTTGGTGAAAGGTACCCAAATTGACCAAATACTCACAAAACTCAGTTTTAAAATATTCCCCACCCAAGCCAGAGCGTAACAATTTAATGGTAGTCTCAAACTGTGTAGTGATCATAAACTAAAATGTACGATATATTTAGTAAAAGTCAGATTTATGAATCATAAGATAAACCCAAGTATAACGGGTGCAATCATCAACAAAAGACACAGTATGCGGAACCCCTTTTAGTGAGAACAAGAGAGGGTCCCCAGACATCAGCATGCACAAGAGAAAATAAAGAAACAAAACTGAAGTACTTTTATTAAAAGGTAAAGTTGACATTTTGGCAAGTTTACACCCCTGACATTCATCAATTTGACTAGGAGAAACTTTACCCAGTAATCCTGACTAAGCTAAAGACCGTAAATGGTCAACAGACAAATGACCTGGGCGAGAATGCCATAAGTAAAACTGACTCGACTGAGAATCTAGCTGAAATGCGGAAAAAGCAACTAGAGAGGTGGATAGAAAGAGATGCAAGCTTTCTACCACATAAAGATCTCCAACTCTACAGCTAATCCCAATCTACTTCTTGGACACCCGATCCTACACACAACAGACAAAAGAGGAAAAGATAACATCGAAACCAGAAGTATTAAGTTAACTGATAGATAATAAACTGACAGATAACTGAAGAACATAAAGAACAAAAGGAATAGTAACAACAGACATTGCAAAGGGTAAGGCAAACCCAATAGATAGAACAGGCATACCAGACCCATTAGCAGTATTAACAGTAATAGGAAAGGGAGAGGGGATACAATTTTGAAGTAAGGAAAAGTGAGGAGTCATATGATGAGAGGCACCAAAGTCAAAAAGCTAGACAAAAGAGGAGATATTTGAAAAGGACCCAAACAAACCTGAATGAAGAGAGGTGAAAGCAGAGACAGATGAGGATGGCTGGGAGGTGGACAAGAAATGTTGAAGCTGAGCCATCTGGGCATGCAAGGAAGCCAAGTTAAGATCAGAAACTAGAGCAGATGCAATATAAGCAGCAGGAGGTCGAAACTGTGTCTGAGGCGGCTGAAAAGACTGAGAAGACTGAGCAGACTGGCGTCCCTTCTTGGGACAGTTGTACTTCGAATGGCCCTTTTGATGGCAAAAAACACACTCATCAGAGGCTAGTGGCCCCTTCTTGGACTTCGCATGGGCTTGAAGCTGATGAGATGGTGGGATTGACAATAGAGGAGGCTGAGTAGGAGCCAAGAAAACAGATGGAGACAAAGTCTGACTAGCTGTCTTAAGACGGGTTTCCTTAGGAATGTCAATTTGAACCCAGCCCGACGGGAACTCGACCTTCCGAACCTAATTTGAGCAATTTTTTTCTGAAAAATATCCCCAACGGGACGGGGATG